GTCTCCCACTCGATTTCGGGTATTTCCCTTCTGTCTCCTTTTTCCTTCCCTCTGCAATCACAATGTCAATGAACTTAGGGCTGTTTGAAATGCTTATTCCCTCTGCAATCACATTGTGGATGAAAGCATAACCAGCACCAAAAGTGAGTGAAACCCTAATTTCTTGTATGAAATCTCATGTTTATGTGCATCATTTTTTTTGTTTTTCGAATTGATATGATGAGGTAACCGATTTGATCGTTGGTGGGTTTAAGTTATTTGTGCAATTTTGGTATCTGTTAGTTCAATACAAAAACATGACCAAAGCATACAGAGGGTTAAAATGGTAATTTATTGTCATTCAGACAATATTTACCAAACAATCATATTTCATTCAGCACTTAACCATTCTGACCCTCTTAACCATTCTGACCCTCTTAAACATTCTGACCACTTAACCATTCTGCACAAAACCATTCAGCAACTGCCAAACAGCCCATGAGTCTCTTATTAATATGTTAAGTCTCTTATAGATAAGTGTGTCATCGTTTAAAGGATATGACGACAAAATATAAAATAGATACATTAGAGTTAGATTATAACTGAAATATCTCGTAGTTATCTACTTGTAACTCATCCATGTATAAGGGGATTATGATAATGAGGATTACAGGTTATTTCTCTCTATTTTATTGTTGTTCTATTTAGTTTTTACTTTAACACGTTTTCAACACGTGCTTTCTCTCTCCAAAAGGTTCTTAAAATAAACTATTGATGTTAGAGACAAACGAAGGGATATGAACGATAGATACAAGCGTAATTAGTTATTTACCTGTGTTCAAGGCTATACTACAAGGTCTCGTAAGCTTTTCATGTCCGAGAATCATGTGTCTCTAGTTGTCATACGTGAACTCGTTGCTTGTAATCATTGTTACCGTCGACGTCTTTTATTCTCGCTTTTTTTAATTATTAATTTTATTGATTTAATGTTATATAGTTTTAATATAATAAGATATGGTGATATAATTGCATTGTGTTTGTTGATATGTTTATGAATGATTCTAATATAGAGTTGTTTGTTTATCTTTTAATAGTTTCATTAAGAGATTACTTTTGAATCGTCAAGAGGGGAATCTTGTTTGGTAAAAAAAAATCTGTTTTTTAATGGTTCAAAAATCCTCTGAATTATTTTGTATTTGAGACCTTCCTTAACCATTTAGCGTTATACTTTCATTGTAAACAAGTATTTAACAATTATATTTTATTTTGTGCACTATATCATGAGAGTCTATTAATAATTCTGTTCATTTAATCATTTTGCACTAAACCATTTACCAACTACCAAACAAACTCATAATTTCTATTTTTCCAAAATTCAAAATTTATTATAAGTAAAAACAAACCATGCATGAATTACTGAGATTTAACTTTTTTTTTTGCTTTTCTTTTTCTCAAAAAACGACATGTATTTTATTTATTTATTAAAAAACATAAATATTAAAGGCAATAAATCCTTGCTTTAATGAGGTCGTTAATAATTATTTTCTTGTTAGAGATTTGGTGAATATTTAATTATGGTTATCTTATTTTCTATTATTTTGTTGTAAATTTAATATTAAATTATTTATTAAATAATAGTTTTTTATTTTATGAAACTGATTTTCTTTCTCTAATAATAATACTATTAAGGATCATATTTAATAAATAATTGATCTGCCAATATCTTAATTATAATTTTTTTATTTTTATAAATTCTTATACGCATTTATTTACTTTATTGGTTATTTTTTATTAACTTGGATATTTAACCCGTTATACGAGGCGACTAATCCCAGGACAACCACCCACTTCGCATGTAACCCGGAGTCACCGCATTTGAAACTTCGTGGCCACAAGGTGATTTTTATTTCTCCTTGGATTCGAACCTGAGACATGTTGACACTTTTGACTTTTGGAGTCCAAGCTCAAACCAATCGGACATGTACAACCCTTGTGGTTAACTTCATTGGTTAATTTAACCAGTCAATGTTGTTTCTTTATATCAGTATTAAATCATTCATTTTTAATAACAAGGTTATTCGAATAACAATACTAGACATGTTGGGACAAGAAAATTCTCGTGGTCAATAATGAAAGTTTTAGAGGTGGAATCAACTCAAAGAACAGTGAGTTAAAGACAATTTCACACATATGACATCTATGCACCCGGGTCATAGCAAATGTTGGAAAGGATTTGCAACCCTTGGAGGTAGAGATGGCCCGGCCCGGCCCGGCCCGGCCCGGGACCGCCGGAGGATCGGGACCGGGACCGACAAAGGACCGGCCCGGGACCGGTTATGGGACCGAAAACCGGGACCGGTTGAGGGTTTGGTAGTTTAGTGGGACCGGGATCGGTTATGGGACCGACTATGGACCGGCCTGGCCCGACCCGAAAATTCAAATAATTTTATAAATAAATGTATTTTTAAATAATTTTATAATGTATTTTTATAAGAAAACGTAATTTTAATTGTATTAAAACGTATTTTTAAAGTGTATTTGAGTGACCCAATTGTAAATTTTATAATGTATTAAAAATATATATCATTGAAAAATAAAAATAAAATGTTACTTTTTTAATGCAAGGACCGGTTGGGACCAGTTGGGACCGGAACCGGGACCGGCGGCCCATAACCGGTTATGAAGTACCTTGACCAGTCCTATCATTTTCGACCGGGACCGGTTATGGCCAGTTATGAGAAATGTGATGACCGATTGGGACCGGTTTTTGGCCATCTCTACCTTGGAGTATATATGCAACTACTACCCCCAATATAATGGATACTAAAAGAAGAAACGCTCGAATAAGAGGGTCTATCAAAATATGAATAAGTTGAAAATGAACTATATCATATTTAATAGTTGTTTAGTATATGATTACTTCAAATTTATTAAGCATCAGATTAAATTAATTTGCATATATGCATATGAATATAAACCATTGTTGATGCAAGTAAATACATCAAAATCAAATATCAAACTCTCAATGATCTATGTGTTGAAAAATACACATAGATATATTCTTTTTCGAGTGAATGGCAAAATGAGGCAATTAACCAAATTGCAATTGTTGACTTCTGCAGCATAAGAAGTAACACCACCATCATAATATGTCATCTCAAATACTTAGAACTTTTGCAAACACTACTCCTTAGTCAAAACAGAAATGAGACCATCCTAAAGCTAAAGACATAATATAAAAATATTTCAGACTTATATCTAGTTGCCAGTTGGTAACCGGATATAAGTCTGACATTTTACACGTATGTTTGGTTGTGTAGTATATGTGCCAATTGCGCCCCTACATCACACCAAAATGGGTTCTTAAAGATGATTATGTATAAGTTGGATATGAATGCCCAACAATTATCCACTAATTAGAACCCTTAACGGGTGATCTCTATACTACCAGATTTACGGGTTGTCACTTTGACAAGGCAATCTTCTAGTCGTTAGGGGAAGGTAGAAAAATGATTTTCCATGAGAACGACAGAAAGTGTCATAGAATATTCTCACTCTATTTATTTTTTATCCCCAAACTTCACAATGTAAAATTGACGTCAAATAAATCAGACTTGATACCTGATATGTTTAATGTTATTCAGAAATGACAAGATCACATATACCGGCTGCAAATAACCTGCAAAGTTAAAAGTCCCCAAACAAGGAGACAAAATTGTTGGAAAAGTGTGTTGCAATCACACGTGGTGGAGGTACGGTTGAGGTTGTGGCTCCCAAGGTTAAAAGTTCCCAAAAGGAAATGGGGAAGCTACTTGGTTCGATAGATACTCATCTAAAGAAAGAAAATAGTAAGGCACAACCATTTATCATCAACACATAAACTTTTCATGAGATTGTCTCTGATTAAAACTATGTCTATAAATTATTACTGGGGACGCTCCAAAGTTAATATTGATCGAAGAAATCTCAAATGAATTATGA